CTCTTAAGATTCCCTTCCTATTGGGCACTTCATTGAGAATAGCCCAAAGGGACTCCTTCAAATGCAGAAGACAAAAATTTCAAAAGAAAAACAGGTTGAATATTTATGACATGCTACACTTCTTTCCCAAAATTAGCTTTATCCTTTGCTTGAGTCCAATGGGTCCCTTCAGCAATTGGTGTCTAAATCCTCCTCTAATCTCTCTGTCCTTGGAGAGGCCAGGGCTGATGCCCAATGACAGTTTCAAATGCTGACAACTTGCATCTTGAAATAGGGAGACTAGGTCAGGAGCAAAACACTTAGTTGTTTTTGTCTTTGTTTACATTAAAGGGCCAATTTCAGAAAACAGACTTTACGAATTGTGTTTTTCTCCTTTTTTAAAAAATGCATTATCCACAATTGCATGTAAGCATTCCTTTATGATTTTCCCTTCCTTGATGATTTCATTTTTCTTCCTATTTTTTAATTAAAAATTCATGAAAAATGCAACTAATGCGCACCACAGGATGTGATTATAGGCACATCTTTGCTTGTTTGAAGCAAGATTCTATAGATGTTCCTTCGTTCACTCTCTAAGTGTCTTAACTAGAAAATACAGATTGTCTCACAGTGCCCCATTAAAATTATGTACTAAGTCAAGGCTACACTTTGCACTTCTCAAAATTCACTTACCAATTTCTAACTCTGGATTGGGGCACTGGTAGTCCACTGGTAGATTTTCACCTTCCATGTGAGAGACCTGGGCTCAATTCTGGTCAATGCACCTCAAGAACAACCAACATCTGTCTCTGTCATAAAAGGTTTGATGTTGCCATGATGTTGAATAGGTTTCAGCTTCCAGACTAAGACTAGGAAGAAAGGCCTGACAATCTACTTCTGAAAAATCAGTCAATAAAAACCCTATGGATTATAATGATCAGATCCTGTTGCACATGGGGTCACCATGTGTCAGGGCCTGACTGGATGGCAGCTAAGTACAACAACAACAACAACAACTCTGGATTAAAAGTATTAATTTACACATTCAATTTTTGCCACTGTACTTAAATTTCCTTAAAAGGAGACTGACTATATCTTACTCACATAGCCTCACAGATGCTAAGCAGTTATTTAAAATCTCTTGAAACAAAATGAAACATATATAATTAGCTTAACCCAGTGTACTTTAATAGCTCCCCTTCCTGAAATGAAGGCCTTTCTTGATCTGGCCCCTGCTTTGTCTACCTTCTCATCGTTTCATTCTCTCCTTCCTCCCAAGCCTCCTTACTCCCCACCTCTATAAGCTTGGGGCAACATGGACCATGCTGCCACTCACTCTTTCCCTTTGTGCATCATCTTCCATCAAAACAAGGAACAGCAGGATGAACTCTTCACCATCTTCAAGCCATATTTCATACATTTAAAAAAAAAATCTGTTACTGTACCATTCAAAAAACAAACTAAATTCACTGCCATCAAGTCGATCTCAACTCATAGCGACCTCTCTTTAGGTTTCTGAGGTGGTATCTCTACTGAAGTAAATTGCCCAGTCTTCCTTCTGAGGAGTGGCTGGTGGATTTCAACTGCCAGTCCTTTGGTTAGCAGTCAAATGCCTTAGGCACTATGCCACCAGACCTCCCACTGTACCATTAGCCTTTTAAATTCCATGAAAGTAAGGGTCTTGTCTGTCTTGCTCACTACTGTCTCTCCAATGTCTGGAACAGAACTTGGCACATCCAAAATGGAAGAAAGAAAAAAAATAACACACTGTTGTCGAGTTGATTCCAACTCATAGTGACACGTTAGCACAGGGAACAACATCCCCATAAGGTTTCCAAGGCTATAAATCTTTACAGAAGCAGGCTGGCACATCTTCTTCCTACAGAGCTGCTGGTGGGTTCCAACCTGTGACCTTTCGGTTAGTAGCCAAGCACTTTGACCACTATACCACAAGGACTCCACTTGGCATACTACCAGAGCTCCTACTTGGCATACAGCACTTAATAAATATCTATTCTATAAACGAAAAATGATTTAACAAATCATGAAAGCCACAGTTCAGGCTTTACTTTCTCTATGAAGTGTTTTCTGACTTCTTTGGGTGTGAAAATGGTATGAGGGCAGTGTTTGACCTCTAAAAGCACAAGGGCGGGAGGAGGATCAAGATCAATAGCCCAAGGCTGATTCCCGTGAGGCACAGGTCCACCCTGTAACCTTTTATTAATACTACTTCTGACATAAACCATCCTTCCCACAGCACCCTCTACTTCTCTACTGGATTTGATAATTTGTTGCAATCTCAACTCACAGACAATACTTATGATTATGACGTTTATTAGGGAAGTAATAGGTTACAGTTCAGGATCAGAAACTACTCAGAATACAGTTTTTTGATTGGGACAGCCTTTTCTCAGCAGTGTCCCAAGACCTGGCTCTCTGGCCCATGGCCCCTTGGCCCCGCCTCTGCTCTGCTTGGGAGAGTGTTTCAAAGCTTTTTCAGTTCTGCTGATGATAAGGGCTCAGGGGCACCCCACTCTGCCAGCAGGCCTCCTGCCCAAAGGCACTCAGCTTTCTAGCTCCGTGGGCCAGAAAGCCCAACGCTCTGTCTCCCGTCGGATCTCCCGGTTCCGCTGCCACCGTTTCTCTGCTGCTGCTTCTCACCATCTCTTGCCGTCTCAGCAAAGTTTTACAGCTCTCTCTCTCTGTCTCCTGAACTGAGGAGGTTAGGCACAGGGATCTCGTGTCCAAAAGACCTCCTTAGCAGAGAGACGGCAGAGAGTGAGCATCAGCAAAGGCAGCAGAAGCAAGAGGCCAGCCTGAGAGAGCAATGGGCTGCCCAGCCCGTGGAGCAAGGAAGCTGAGTGCCTCTGGACAGGAGGCTTGCTGGCAGAGGAGGGTGCACCTATCAGCAAAGCTAAAAGAACTCTGTAACACTTGCCCTAGCAGGGCAGAGGCCAGGCCAAGAGGCCAAGGGCCAAATAGAAGGATGCCTGTGTCACAGCTGAGAAGAGGCTGTCCTGACTGAAGAACTATATCCTGGCTTGTTTCTGACTTGTAAACTGCTACTTCCCTAATAAACGCCATAATCATGAGTATTGTCTGTGAGATTTGTGTGGTCATTGCAAGGAATTATTGAATCCAGCAGAGAAGCAGAGAGTGCTATGGGAGGGACAGTTGGTGTCAGATTGGTAAAAAGGTTGGAGGATGGCAGCATGTCTGATTTCATAGTAATCAGCCTTGGGCTGATGCCACTGATGGTGACTCTGTCGCCCCTTGTGAAGTTAGAGGAGGTCAGAAGATGCTGCCCCATGCCCTTCTTGCACCCTTGATGGGCCACAAGCACATCATATGTGCTTTGTCCCATCTAGTTCTCTGGTCACAGTCAGAAAGACCATGGCTAGAAGAGCCATACCAAGCAATTCACTGCACTGCTTTGAGCATACATAGGCCCACCTACCTCTAAGATACAATAACATCTCATCAGCTTTTGGTGCCTAAATCTTCTTCCAGCCTCCCTACACATTGTGGGTGGCTAGGGCTGATGACCAGGGGCGGTTTCAAATGGGCTCTGAGATATAAAGATCAGGAATAAAAAATTTACTATTATTTGCATTGAAGGATCAATTCTAGGAAACAAATTTTATGGGTTGTGTCTTGTACCCTATACTTTTTTTTTTTTTTTTTTTTTAATGCTTGTTAATTCATTTACCAAGCTTCTACTGAATGCCAAGCAGTGTGAGGTTCTGAGAAAGTAGTTGAAAAGCACAGGCCACTTCCTTAAGGAATTTATAGACTAGTGGGTAAGACATACATAAGCAAAAGAGATTATAATTCAGAGTGATATGGGCTATGACAGAGGTCAGCACAGGCTAAGGAAGGTTGGGCAATCTACTTCTGTAGTGATAACTGCCTCGAAACCCAAAGATGGGTAGCTGTCAGTCGGGTTCAACTCAACGGCATAGAACAACAACAAAGAAAGGCACTGAGCCTGAACTGTGGCTGGGAGACTATCAGGTTTTCTAGAGCAGATAATAACTTAATCTCGAAGGATGACAAAGAGTTGATGATGATGAAGGACAAAGATATTCCAGGATGAGAAAATAGCAGCAGCAAACGTGAAGAAGCAAGAAAAAGCATGACAAGTTTAAGAAATTTCAAGTAGTCGTCTGTGGAACCACCGGGTACGGAGAACTGGGAGGAAGATGACCCCTGAAAAGCAAGCAGGCATTGAATCAGGAAGGAACGTAAATAGTATAAGTTTTGATTATTTCTCGAGGACCAGACAGAATCACTAAAAGATACTAAAGCTGATAAAAGGTTATGGACAGATTTTTGTTTTAGAAAATCATTGTTGTTGCTAAGTGGGGAATGGGTTGGAAAAGGCAAGACTGGCCCTGAGACATCAGTTAGATAAATAAGCAACAGTGATGAGGGTTGGATTTGAGGTAGCATCAGTGGGTCGTGGAGGATATGAGAGATTTGAGAGGTAGTTAAGGGAGACAGAAAGGCGGGAATGGATGTTGGAGGGTAGAGGGAGCAAAGAATGACCCCCAGTTTCAGTGACTTCAGTAGCTGGTGAATTCAGTTACTCAACAGTAGCTGGTGAATTCAGTTACTCAACAGCTAGTGGTGATGTCTGCAACTATCACATAGCATTATAATTGCATGATTAAATGTAACTCACTCCCAACTGCATCTTACTCCAGTGACCCTGCTTTTTAGCCTAGAAGAGTACCTATTAAGCAGAAGGCACACATTGAATGAATGAATGTCTATTCAAAATACTAAACTGTAACTCTATGATCCAATAAGAGGTATGGGGAATGGCACAATCCTACATAACACTATTTTCTGCATGTTGTTTCAAGAAGGCGAGGAAAACACGAGGAAACTTGCTTCTCGGTTGCTTTTTTGCCTGTTGTACAACTAGGAAGCTGACAATAAAGTTTATTTGAGCGTCGACGTGCCGACGCTGGCCCCGCTTCTCCAGGAGGTGCCGTAATTGGTGGGCATTCGCCGGTGGCCGCTGTTCCTAAGTCATGATTGGCGAAGGCCGAAGTCATTCCTGAGCGTCCCGGCGTCAGCCCGCCTTCTCGCCGCGTCGCGGGTGCCTGCGCCGCCCGCTCCTCCGCGCCTCTTCTCTCCCGGCAGAGGCCCGGGGGACCAGAGCGAGAAGCCAGGATCATGTTCCGACGCAAGCTGACGGCCCTTGACTACCACAACCCTGCTGGCTTCAATTGCAAAGGTGAGGCGGCGTCCTCCGGCCGACCGCACGTCTCTGACTGCAGCGGCAGCCCTTCTCTCGGCACCCCCCTCCTCCCTACCTGGGATCCTCCGCGGCCTTGTCTCCCCCGTGTGCCTCTGGGCGGCCACTTAGTCCAGGCCGGCAGGCACTGCAGTTTTCCGCCGCGCTTCCCAGCACCCCCGGCTTCGCAGCTCCAGCACCTACTCCTCTGTTGGAGTCACCACTTTCTCTACGTGGTTAATTCCAAACGCTCCTCCCCCACCTCCCCTTCTCAGCGCACAAAAGGGAAACCTTCGTTTTTCTAACTTAGGTCTTCAATTCCACTGATGTCCCGGGTAATTAAGTGGACGGTACTCTGAGCACCTGTTATGGGCCAGCATAGTGCTGGATGTCGAGGAAGGTGCTGAGTAACTTGAAGACAAGTTTGCTGCCCGCCAGGGGTCGGGAACGATCAACTCAGGAAGCAGTTAAGGGATCAAGAGAATACAAAACGCAGTCCAGTATCGACAATGGAGGAATCAGCGCGAATAGCAGTGTGCTAATTGTGTAGGCTGGGAGCTCTGGTAGCATAGTGGCTAAGGCACTTGACTGCTAACCAGAAGGCTGGCGGTTCAAACCCACCAGCCACTCCTCGGAAGGAAGGTTGGGCAGTCCTACTACCGTAGTGATACTGCCTCGGAAACCCAAGGAGGGGTCGCTATGAGTCGGGGCCGACTCGACGGCAAATAACAACAACAACAACAATTGTGTAGGCATCGCGCAAAAAAGTAGCAGATGAGCGGGTTAGTTGAATTGTAAATAACAAAGGTATTTGGTATTTTACGGCGTTAAAATTTTTAGAAGTACTAGCACTAAGCCCAAAACCAAACCCACTGCCATGGGGTGGATTCCGACTCACAGGCCTGTAAGGTTTCCAACACTATTAAATCTTTACGGAAGGAACTGCCACATCTTTCTCTTGGTATACAGTAGCCCTTGAACAGACTCAGGTACTCTCACTTTTTTCTAAGTTGCCACATTTTGTTTATATTTTAATAGTTAACAGACAGCACAACTAGTCCTACACCCTGCCCCACCCTTTATAACCTGAGGGGGCTCAGCTACCCTCTCCATCCAGTCTCACTTCTTATCCTCCTCCTTTTTGTCCTTTTTGCCATCCTTGGTGGCCTGGAAGCCCAGGGATCCGTGTCATATTGAATGGCCTCATTGTTGGGGTCTGTGCCTGGAAGGTTTTCCAAGATGCTCTGAAGGAACTCCAGGTGCTGCATGACACTTCAGTAATAACACTACCACCCAGTATTACTCTACTACCTACTACTTTTCATTTTCTCCCATAGTTCTTGGCCTGTGGTAGACTAATATGTTTGAAAGTGATCATCAAGTACAACCTGTGATACCGGACCAACGTATAGTTCTTTTCAGGACTACATAATAAAAGCTGAGTTTAACTCACAGGTTGAAAATAATTTACAAGAGGTGTGTCAGTGATTTGTTGAGCACATTGATTTTTACTTAGGAAAAATAATTGGTGGTAATAGCACTTTGATCTGGATTTGAGTCTTTGCATCTCATTTTTCTCTTTAGTAAAATGGATATTTTACCTTCTTTAAAATTATGTACGTAGTTTGTCATAAATGAGCTTAATGTGCACCTAACAGTACTTAATCTTGTTTCAGTTAACTTTTTATACGGGGTTAAACAATTCTGTTTGACCTGTGAAGTAGGTATTCTAGTGATTGCTTTAGTGATTTTTGTGATACCTTTGTTGCAGATGAAACAGAGTTTAGAAATTTTATTGTTTGGCTTGAAGACCAGAAAATCAGACACTACAAGATTGAGGACAGAGGAAATTTAAGAAACATCCACAGCAGTGATTGGCCCAAATTCTTTGAAAAGGTAATTACCAGAAAGCAATATAAAAGTACAGAGAGCTTCTCCAAAGATTATACGAAGAGAGACAATTTTAAAATGATTTTTTAAAAAATAAAAGTAATAATGATCAGTGTTTGAGAACCTGGATTTCAGAGATTTAACTGTTTGAAATTATTGTTTATTTTATTTAAAGCAAAGTATATAATCTGTTTCTACCAAGCTTGAAGTAGTTTTCTTTGGCAACATTGTGAGGTTTCTTTAAAAAACAGTGAAATATTCCAAAAATGGTAACTACACTTTAATTACATGGCCAAAATTAGATTTTTTACATTAGGCTAAAAATACAGCAGTAATACACTTTTGTATTATTGACGTGCTTAAATGTCAGTAATAACAAAAGATGACATTATTGATGTGCTTAAACATGCAAGCTGTCATGTTTATCGTTGTAGTTAATGTACATACATAGATGTCCCGTGCTTATATAATTGAAATGATCTAAAAATTTCTGTATGTCTAACATTTTTATTGTTAGAATAATTTTCCCATTGACTTAGTCTGATTTTAATAATACATTTGAAGGAAAAAAAGAATAGTTTTCAAATTATAATAAAAATCACATTTCGATGTCATCACTTATGTTAAAAGCTTTCATCAGCTATATTATTTTGACGAATAAGATATTTTTCCTTCAAAATATCAAGAAAAGCAACTGAACTTTTCATTTTATAGGGCAAAATGATCAGATGACTAACACTCTGGTTTGAATCGATGATTGTGTGAATTAGGAGATGATATAAATTACATACTAGCTCTAAGACCTTGGGCAGATTTATTAACCTCGATGTCTTGATTTTCTCATTGATAACAATGAGATAACAGTGATATCTTAAAATTGATAACGATGGTACTTAAAGTTTTGTTGGGTGTTGTTAAGGTCCCTGGATGGCACAAATGGTTTTGCTTGACTGCTGACGTACAGGTTGGTGGTTTGAACTCACCCAGTGGTGCTGCAGCAGAAAGATCTGCTTATATAAAGGTTGTAGCCAACCAAGCCCTACGGAGCATTTCTGCTCTCTAACATGGGGTTACCATAAGTTGGAATTGATTCAATGTTAATGGGTTTAGGGGATGTTGTTAATGGTATACCTAAAGTGTTCTCAGAGGGGACCCACCTGTACCAAGTGCTGTATACTTAATATTACCACTGCTATTACTTAAAAAAAAGAGAAGGAGTTAATGAGAAAAGATTCCAATTCATGATTGATGACCCCATATGTGTCATAGTAGAACTGTGCTCAGTAGGGTTTTATGACTGATTTCTGGGAAGTAGATCACCGGGCCTGTCTTCCAAGGCACCTCCGACTTTTCAGTTAGCAGCCTAGCACATTACTGTTTGTACCACCCAAGGTCTAGTGTTGAATTATTTTCCTTTGCTCTTAAAAAGTACTTTTGAAATTTTTAGATGGATTTTTTTTTTAAAGTTTAGAAATATATTAGAAAATTGTATTTGTTTCTATTATGTCTTACTTAGGGCCCATTCATACATACAAGATACTACACATTTCTACATATAGAAGAGTATTTGATGAATATAAAAAAATGATTGCAAAACACCCAGAAGTTGCAGTGAAGTAATGTAACTTACAGATAAACATATTAGAGCTTACGCATCCAAACTGATGTTGCCCTTAAAGTTGGTCTCTTTGGAATGATGATGTCCTTTCTTAAGGCATACTTGGACCTTTTCTTTTGAAATTATTTAGATCCTAGGTCCCATCCTTTGAATATCCTTAATGTAGCAATTTCTATACTTTGAAGGTGAATTTACTTTTTAAATTATTACTAAATCTTAGGACTGAGATGTTTCTTTTAGCAGGGGGATAATATAGCTCATTTAGGAAATGAGTTATGGTTAAAAAGTGCTGACTTACTAATTATTCCTGATAAGATTTCCAAAAAGGAGCTCCAGAAGTTTTGGGTAAATAGGATCATTACTGCAATTAGATTTTGATGTCCCGAGAGAGTGTCCTTTGAAGGACAGCACTTATTTGGATACTCCATTTCTGACACTTATTTACAATGCTTGGTTACATTCTACACATACATTACATGGCTTACTTTATTCAGTGGCGTTTCCTTAATGTGAAAGCTAGGATTTCGATAATAGATTTATTTGTATGTCCTCATTTTTTAAATTTAATTACTATATATGTATTGGAATGTGGAATCAGAAATCTGAGCGTCCAGGCCCAGTCTAAGTTGTGTAACCTCTGGCCAGTGTCGTCCTTTCTAGGTCTCAGTTTTCTCATCTGTAAAATGGGGAAGTTGTTCTAGACCAGTGGTGTCCTACCTGGCATCTGTAAAGATAAAATTTGAAAAGTGGTGGAAATTTCATTTTTTCTTAATAGATTAAAGGCTTCCTTTGGGTTACATAATGCATCAAAAGTTTGGTAATAAAAATGTTACAAGAAATACCAGTTGGCATTGTTATATGTCTCATTGCCCCAAAATGGGAAAATGAATTGATTATGGTTAATTATTACTTAATAATGACTGTTGTTAGACAGACTCTAAATTCATGGGAAGGTGGGGTGTAGACCAAGAAGTCTTAAAAGAGGGAATCCAAACAAACATCTATTTCAACTTTATCATTTTTTCATTCTGTTATTTTATGGTAATAAAGAAACTTTTTTTTTTTTTTTCCACAGTATCTCAGAGATGTGAACTGTCCTTTCAAGATTCAAGATCGACAAGAAGCAATTGACTGGCTTCTTGGTTTAGCTGTTAGACTAGAGTATGGAGATAATGGTATGTTTTATGGGGAATATGGGTTTTTAAAAGAGGTAGAGGACAGGTGGGAGAGCCAGAGTGTAAAGACTTAAGGAAGTTGCTGATTTGTGCTTTTTGTTTTATGCTGTTTACCTTTTGTTCATTTAAGTTTAAACTTCCTCACCCACTTTTCAGCATCTATTTAGAACTTTACTTTTTATTTGTAACCTTGCTTCTGTATCCAGCCCTCCGAATCTCCCAAATTGGCTAAGAAAGGAGTTTTTAGAATTAGGATCTCTTTGTTAGCAAAAAGTTAAAAATACTTTTCATTGACATTTGGATATTTCTGTTAGAATTTGGAAATGGTGTCTTCATACAAAGTGACTTAGTTTGGTATATTTGGCACTTTGCATAGTCTGTACCTTAGTCTTTCATGTTTAGAAATTGTTGTTAATGTCACGGAATTGATAGGATTTCTGCATGTTAGTGCCAGCAGGTAATTTCATAGTTACCTGTGAAATTACATCTTCTCCATTACTACTTCTATCACCCTAATTCAGGCTCTTGTCACTTTCTGCTGAAGTTATTACAGTATCTTCCAAATTGGTCTCTTATTAGTGTCATCCTTTAACCTGTGATCCACATGGCTCACCAAGCTAATTTTCTCAAACTTGCATCTATATTAGAATACTATTCATTGTTTCCAAAGAATAGCACTAGTTATATACTGTAAACATCATTAGCTTTTAGTTTTCTACAAAAGGAGCTGCAAACTCTTTAGCCTGGTATTCAAGGCCTTTGATGGCTTATGTCTAAGCAGTTCAACACTTGACATATTGCCAAACAAGAATAACCATTTCCTGTTTATGTCCCCTTTTTCCCTCCCTTCAGTTTCTTTGCTTACGGTTTTCCCTTGGCTAATATGCCATTTCACTAGAGCCCTACAAATCTAAATCCTTTCCATCCTTTTAAGATCCAGTTCAAATGTCCCCTAGCTGCAGTAATTTTTCCCTCTGTATTTGCATAACTTTTAGTCTGTCTTTTAAGGCATTCACTACTTTCTAATGACTTTATATGTCTTATTTACCCCCACTAAATTTAAGCTGATTTTCAGATTGGTTTCCTGTGTGGTACCTGTATTAGTTTCCTATTGCTGATCCAACAAATTACCATAAACTTGATGGCTTACAATAACATGAATTTATTATCTTATAGTTCTGGAGGTAAGAAGTCAAAAATTAGTCTCAACTAGGCTAAAGTCAAGGTGTTGATAGGGTTGCTTCCTCTTGGAGACCAAGGCAGAATCTTTTTTCTTGGGCTTTCTGGTTTCTGAAATCTAGCCTGCATTCCTTCACTCGTGGCCCCCTCTACCACCTTCAAAGCTACTAGCATATCATCTTCTATTCCTTCTATGATTCTGTTTCTGTTACCACATTTCCAGCTCTGACCCTGCTCCTCTTCCCTCTCTTTCACGAGGGTCTTGTGATGACATTGGGCCCATTTGGATAATCCAGGATTATCTTCTGTCTTAGATAATATATAATACATAATACATTTACAGGTCTAGAGACTGGGATATGGGCATCTTTGGGTGAGCAATTATTCTGTTCTAGCACAGCATGCAGCGTAGTTCCTTGCACACAGTAAATGCTTATCAACCTCAATAAATGTTCGGTCAGTGCAATATATGAATGTTTATATATGCCAGTTTGGAGAATTAGCTAGGTTTTGCTGGGGCCTTAGACTTAAATTTCAGTAGCCTTTTCATAGCAATCTTAAGAAAACCTCTAATTTGAAACTTTACATTTTAGTTTAAAAAGAAAACACTTTGACTTTTCTTTAGAAAATAACTTAGTCATTTTTGGCATTGATACATAGTATTACTTGATTTTCAGGACCTTTTCCCAAGTACGTTCTTTCTGTGTGAATTAATTTGTAATGATGTGTTCTCTAGTTTATCACAAGTGCTGTTCAACTGTTCACAAATAAATTGATAGTCATATAGTAATTTCTGTTTCATGCTTGTTTATTATATTCCATTTGTCGCATTTTTTAAATCTTTCAACTCAGGTTACCAGGTTCAGTTGATTATAACTCTTAAGTACATTTCTCAATAGCAGCGTGTTTATTTTAATAAATTAAAAAATGCTGAGGGACTAATTTTATCTGCTGTATAGTAAATTTTCTGATACTGAAAAAGAGAAAGTCAGCATATACTTAAAAGGTAAATGGCAACAGAAAATATTGAAAGTCTAAACTATAAAGTGCTTTTGTGTCATCTGAAAATTCAGAGTTATAAGAACAAAGACCATTCGTTAAAAAAATGATAACTCTTTCTGTTACCAATGGGAGGTACTGATATTCTCTTGTGATTTTTCCATTAATATGTTGCTCTTTTTTTTTTGAGTTTTAATTTACTTATTTTAAAATGTTATTTGATGAAAATATTGTGAATTTTTATTATTTGTGCCTGTCTCTGTTATCTGGTGCTGCTATAAGAAATACCACAAGTGGGTGACTTTAGTGAACAGAAATTTATTTTGTCTCAGTTCAGGAGGCTAGAGGTCCAAATTCAGGGTGCCGTTTCTAAGGGAAGGCCTTCTCTTTCTGTTGTCTGTGGAGGAAGGTTCTTGTCTCTTTTTAGTTACTTTTTTCCTTGGCTTTAGTTACTTCATGTGGCTTCTCCCATCTCTGTGTGCTTCCCATGCCTGTCTGCTTGTTTATATTTTACAGTGATTGCTTTAAGACACATCTGTGCTAATCTAGCCTCGTTAACATAACAAGAAAACCAATCCTCAAGTATAGGGATTAGGATTTACAGCACACATTTTGGGGGGACACAATTCAATCTGCGACAGTGCCTTAACTTTTTTTTTAAGTTTCACATTAATTTGTCAATTAAGATTATTAAAATCTGACTTAAATTTTTTATTTTAACTTGACATCTTTTCAGATTTACAGAAACATTGCAAGAATAGTACAAAGAATTTTCGTATCTCAGCTTCCCCAAGTGTTAAAATGTTTCTTCATTTGCTTTTTCCTTTTTCTTCCTCCCTTTCTCCATACTCATGCAGTTTTTTCCTAAACTCTTTGATAGTAAATTGTGATGATTCCCTTTTACCCATAAATATTTAGTACACGTTTCCTAAAAACAGCATTGTCTTATATAACTGTACTATTACACTCACTGCCAATGAGTTGATTCTGATTCACAACAACCTTGTCGGACAGAGAACTGCCCCATAGTGTTTCTAAAGTTGTAAATCTGTACAGGAGCAGACTGCCTGCCACATCTTTATCACGCAGAGTGGCTAGTGGGTTCAAACCGCCAACCTTTTGGTTCGTAGCCAAGTGCTTTAACCACCATGCCACCAGGGCTCCTAAACATAGTATACTTATCAGAAAATTAACATTGATATACTACTTTTATCTATAGACAATACTCAGATTTCATCACTTGTATCAATGTTATTTAGAGAAAAGAAGTTCTAGATCATGGATTGCATTCAATTGTTAAATCTATTTCGTCCTCCATAATATAGAAAAGTTCCTCACTATTTGTATTTTGTTGCACCAACATTTATTTATAGAATGTCCCTCAGTTTGGGTTTGTCTCATGTTTCTAATTGATTAAATTCAGAGTTTGTCCTTTTTTTTAGGAAGAGCACATAAGTGATGCTGTTCTTAAGCACATGATATCAGGAGGCAAGTGTTGGTTAGGGTTCCTCCATTGTAAAGTTACTATTTTCCCCTTTGTAATGAATACCTGTCTTGTGAGAAGCTTTCCTCTTAGTTTTAGAATCCATTTGATGATTTTTGGTTGAATCAATTACTGTGATGATGTCAAAAGGGGTTGTTCTAGTTCCTTTATTCCTTTTAAATTTCTTTGTGGCTTTCTACTGTAAGGGAGAAGTTTTTCCTTCTCTGATTGAGTTATTTAAATGTGGATATATGGATTCTTATGTATTCAGTGGGTCATAATCCTTCCTTGTCATCGTGTATTTTGATATTTACAATGTCTTAGATTTGGCCAGTAGATGCTCCTTTGAGCCGAGTACTGTCTGGCTTACATTTAAATGCTTTTGTTTTTCTGGGTGGCTTTTTCATAAATCATATAATAAGCCCTGGAGCCAAAGATGCTTTTTGGGTATTAAGTTTAGTGAATTAATACTGAGTTTTTTCTTTTTTTCTTTTTTGGTGACTTCCTTTTAAGTATTAAGTATTTTCCAAGTATAGCTATAAAAATCTACCTTTGGAATTCTGGCATTCAAGTGTTGAGATAAATTTTAGGTTTATATATGCTCAAACATTTGAAGTATGGATTTTTTTCCAAAGCAAGGTTTTCAGATTCTGTATATGTCATTCAAATGAAGATTTGGGAGGAAACTTTGCAATGCTTTTTATTTGCTCTTATGTAATCTATACTTAATGATCCTCCCTTTCTTCTACCTCTACCAAGTTTTAGGATAAACTATAGATTCAGGTTTTCCCCCTAAAATTTACATAATATTTGAAATGTATTACCTTTAGAAATGTTAATGAAGATATTTGTGTCACACATTCCAATAATCATTTTAACTTAGTCAAAAAGTTATAGTCCCTTTGTCTTCTGATACTCCATAGCAAAACATAACTCTAATTGGCATTACCCTGTGCTTATAATCTGTTTGCCTTAAAGTCAATGAAGAAGCATCGTTGATTGGACCTTAAGTTGCATTTCTAAAAATTATATTTTTGCCTATTTTTACAGCTGAAAAATATAAGGATTCGGTACCTGATAATGCAAAAACTGCTGATAATGCAACGAAAAATGCAGAGCCGTTAATCAATTTGGACGGTAAGTATGTAACTAAATGTGTAAAATTTGCTACCAGTATTTTTGGTTCTTTGCATGTTTTTGCTTCCTAGAATGTAGTGCTGTTTAAGGCATTTGAGTGCTAGCCAGAAGGCTGGCGGTTCAAACCCACCAGCCACTCCTCGGAAAGAAGATTGGGAAGTCTACTTCTGTAGTGATACTGCCTCGGAAACCCAAGGAGGGGTCGCTGTGAGCCAGGTCCGACTCAACGGCACATAACAACAACAACAACAACAACAGAATGAAGTCTAGGTTCAGTAATAAGAATGTTTTACATAGACAACGGTTGTGTTGAAGTTTCATTTTCTATAATGTTTCTAAGCATGAATTACAATATGCTTTCTCCCTGACCACAGTTGAATTCTGAATGTTAACGTCGTATTATTTGATTTGGTTATAGTGATTTGGTGAATAATCATAGTGCAGATTGTTTGCCTTCTTGAGGTGTAAGATAATTTCATTGTTCTAAAGACACTATGAAACGAGTGGTAAAATTGTTCACTTTTTTAAGTACCAGTTATCCTTTAGCAGTTTTTCTCCTTTTAAAAAATATGGAAGATTCTGGTTACTTAGATTATGAAATGTGTTGAATATTCTTTCCCTGCTTCATTGTGAATTGTAATTTATGAATTATCCTTTGAATTAATAAGCTTCTTGGACTCTCCAGAGCTGCTGCTTAGAGAAAAGGTTTTCAGAAAACTGTCCAGTTAAGGGGCCTATGTATTAAAATTAATAGCCTTGGGAAGAAATGTTAATTAAAAGTGCTGTGTAAAGGGGCCTTGCATGAAAAGTTGTAGGACAAATCTAATGTGAGTTAAATTAATCATTTACTGGCTTGTTCAATTTGATGAAATGTATTAACAGAAAAACCATTGGTCAACATGTTGATGCTGTACATCACTTTATGTTTTTTCCCTAAGCAGCAGCAATTTTAGAAGTGAGAAATTTGTTGTCATTGTTACTGGAAAATGAAAAATGTTTTTTGTAAGTTTGTATATTCACAAATATATGGCTGTAATTATGTTAGTTTGCAGAATTATAAGTTTGTTTTCTAATCTCTTCTAGTAAATAATCCTGATTTTAAGGCTGGTGTGATGGCTTTGGCTAACCTGCTTCAGGTCCAGCGTCATGATGATTACTTGGTAATGCTAAAGGTCAGTTTCATATTTTTCATTCTTGACAGAAACTGCATATAGGAAAATCTCTTCATTTTTCTAAAAATGAACTCTGGTATTTACATTATGGTTGAATGATTAAAATAGAAATATGGGATATAAAACAGATTTAATTATTTCATCTGTTTTTAGATTATCTAAAAAACCAAACCCACTGCCATCAAGTCAATTCAGACTCATAGCAACCCTTTAGGACAGAGTGGAGCTGCCTCTTAAGTTTTCCAGGCCTATAAATCTTTATGGAAGGAGACTGCCTCATCTTTTTCCCAAGGAGCACCTGGTGGGTTTGAACTGCTGACCTTGTGGTTTGCAGCCAAATGCTTTAACCACTGTGCCACCACAGCTCTTAGATTATCTACTAGTAATAATGAGAACTAATATCAAGGAGTTAAACACTGTGTGCCTTCCACTATGCTAGATCCTTTACGAAGATTCTCATTTAATCCTCTCAGTAATCCTAGAGAGAGATGCTAATATCTATATATGTTGATGTAAAAATATGATAGTTACATATTTTGTATATATGTATGTGTGTGTGTGTGTACGTACACGTAGATAAAAAGGATAGATAACTAATATCCAAGGTGACACAAAATGATAGAGCCAGGATTTTAATCTAGGCACTGACATAGTGGTCATTCTTTTTTCTATACTAACCTAGTTCTGTTTAATTGGCTAAGGCCACTTAGTTCACCTCTACTTTGGGGAGCTAAGTAGTCTAAAAGAAATCTCTTCTATTTGGTGAGTATGTTATTCTGAAAGACAAAATACGTTCATCATATTCCAGAAGACTTATGCCTAGTAATTATGTAAGTACAGGCGCTTGGGTGGTGGAGGAATTAAGATAGTGTTGGAAATTACTTTAGAAATTATTACTGTCTTTATGAAAGATTAAAGAGCTTTTGACTTGACCTTGTGCAAATAGGGAGTCTTGTTGGCATAGTGGATAAGTTCTTGGCCGCTAACTGGAAGGTCGTCTGTTTGAACCCACCACCAGCTCCACATAACAAAGACACTGGCAGTCTGCTTCTGTAGAGATTCACAGCCTTGGAAACTTCACTGGGCAGTTCTCTGCCCTATAGGGTCAGTATGAATTAGAATTGTCTTGATGGCAGCAGGTTGGTTCTTTGGTGTGTGCATGTAAAATTCTGTGAACTATGCAGTAAGTTGAATAATTAAATTTTACAATATCTAGAAGAGATTAAGCCATAGTTTATTTTACTTCTTAAAATTAAACGTATTAATGACAGTTTTAATAAGGACTATTCCTGGATTATCACAATTCTTAATGCTGTATCTGAATGTTAACTTGGATTTTCTTAACCCAAATTGAGTGCCAAAAGACAAATTATTTTTAGTGAATTTTAGCTCTTTCAAAGGCTTATTCCCCACTCAGACAATTAGTAAATTGCCTTGGAACAGTTTTACAGTGATCACGTCAACTTTAATCATAAACTGTGTGAGAGGAGAAACAGACAATGCATAGCGTAGTTGGGGTGCTTTTGTTAGACATTGGAAACCCTCTGGGAAAAAGTATAAATAAGCTATAATGGAAAAGCTTTATAAAAATTCTAATCTTAGCTGCATGTTTGTCTTTTGAATTATTTTAAGAGACATTCAAATGATAATTCAGAAAACATCCTAGCTTTGCTGAGTGTAAGAATGAGAGTATTAACTATTTGGCAACCAGACTATTACTGTTAAAGATTATTTTGTTATTCTTTTCAAATATATACCAAACCAAATTCACTGCCATCGAGTTGGATCTGACTCATAGCAACCCATCCTTGGGTTTCCAAGGTGGTGTCACTATGGAAGTAGATTGCCCAGTCTTCCTTCTGAGGAGTGGCTGGTGGGCTTGGCATATATATATATTTTATATTATTAAATAATAATATTTTTATATTCTCATTTTTATTTTTGAGTTGTAATTGTCTTCTTGGTCATTTAAATTCCCTAAAAATATCTTGCTTTTAAGGATGTATTCATTTCCTAGATCTGTTGTAACAAAGTACCACCAACTGGGTGGGTTATAATGACAGAAATTTATTCTCACAGTTCTAGAGGCTACAAGTCTGAAAGAGGGTGTTGGTAGTGTTGCTTCCTGCTCAGCGCTGTGAGGGAGACTGTTCTGGGCCTCTCTCCTGGCTTTCGCAGTCCCAGGCTTTTCTCGCTTTTAGACACGATCACTGCGATCTCTTCTGCTGTCTTCACATTGTAATCACCCAGTTTTCTCTCTTTTCCTTCTCTTACAGGGACATCAGTCAGATTAGGGCCTACTTACTGGAGAATGACCTCATATTAATTAATATATAAGATCTGCAAAGATGCTATTTCCAAATAAGGTCATATTTCATAAGTACTGGGAGTTAGAACCTGACCGTATCTTTTTTGGGGACAGAAATCAACACATAACTTGGGGTGTGCTGGGATACATATGTGTCTGCCATAATGAAATGCCATAGTAATAAAAACAGTGTCCTTTGAAAGGTCTGAAAACACTTCTCTGTGGTTAAGTGAAAAAAGCAAGGTTCAGAAAAGTCTGTATGATATACTAACCTTTTGTTTTAAGAATGTATGTGTCATGTGTGCATGCTTGTAATTTGAGTCTTTTCGGGATACACAAGAATCTGTGAACAGTGGCTTCTGTAGGGGAACTGGATGGTTGAGGCTTGGGAATGGGAAGGAGACCTGCTTTTTACCAGGTGTCCTGCATTTTTAAGATTTTGTACTTACCTTAAGATTCTATGCACGTGTATTATGTATGTGAAAATTTAATTATCATGAGCAACTCTTTATGTTATTAAATATTGAAAATGTGAACACTTAAAAGAGCTTTCTTAAAAATTTATTGGAGGATTTGTTAAATGAAATAGGTAGTTCTGACTTCATCAAACTCGACATCCTTGTTCTTCTGACTCAAAAGAAAGGAAGACAGTTAAGCAGTCTTTAAAAAGTAAAAGCAAACCAACAAAAAAAAGTAACAACATTTTTGGTTGTCGTAGGCGATACGCATATTGGTTCAGGAGCGCCTGACACAAGATGCAGTTGCTAAAGCAAATCAAACAAAAGAGGTACGTACGTTTTCGTACATTAACTATTAATGACAGTTTCTTCTAGTGTTGCTATAGGTTTAAACTCTGCATTTATCAGAATACGTTATATTAGAATAAAACAACCCAGAGAAAAGATAGATACTTTGATAGGACTGAATTTAGTTCTTAAGTAAGTTGAAATTCTTGCAAGAATGCCAGGATATATTCAATTGCTAGGGGTCTTTTTCGTTTGTTTTCTCACCCCATATTTTCATTACTCCACAGTCCACCGTACAAACTGGAACATGCCCAGGTGAAGTTTATTTAAAGGGAATTTGCCCTTATGTAACTTAACTGGGTCATTTTGACTCTTTGCTGAAAACAAAGAACACACTTGGTTACTAATAAATTTTCTTCTCTTTCAACCTAAATTCTATCCAATTTCTATCCTCACTCGTTTCTTCAGAGAAATTGGCTCTCTTCTCTCTCATTTTGTTTTTTTATTTCCAGACATAATGATGATAAGAAAGTCACTTGCCTAAGGTCACCCAGTTAATAAGTGTTGAGCTCAGGCAGTCTGATTCAAGAACTTTAGTCTAACTGTGATGGGTGGGAGCCAGGGTCCATTTGTGGTGGTCTGGATGAGCTTAGTCGATCAGTCCAGGTAAAGGAGAGGGGGCTATACTAGAGTGATAAGGCTGTAAATCTTTATGGAGCAGACTGCCACATCTTTTCTCACAGGGGGCAGCTGGTAAGTTTGAACTGCTGACCTTTTGGTTAGCAGCCAAGCACTTGACCACTGCACACCAGGGCTCCTCAGAAAGGGTGTTAGATTCTATCAAATGCTACTTCTGTGTCAGTTGAGATGATTGTGTGATTCTTATCCTTTGTTCTATTTATGGGTTGAATTATGTTGATTGATTTTCTAATGTTGAACCATCTTTGCATCCCTTGTATGAATCCTACTTGATCATGATT